CCTCTAATGATACTCTAGCTATGGCGCTGTTACATGCCAAGTTGGGCTATGTATTCAGCCAAGGATCCGCAATGTGATGAAAAGGACTGAATCGACAATGTACTGTTAGTGAAACATCAACAGACAATGTACATCCCGATACATGAAAAATGGCATTTGATAGCACAGCGGAAGACTTTGAGATAAGTCCTGACCTGACCTGGACTGTTACGACATCCCATCATACATCACACATGTGAGAGGTAGAGGAGGGACAGCATGCATAGACGGAGGTCGCTCCTGCATACACACATGGGGAGATACCATGGATGAGAGATGGAGCGGGAGGGAAGGACGAAGATGGAGGCAAGGGAGAAGACTCTAGATCGCAATAGCGGAGTTCGGAATAGTCCCTGGCCGAGGTCCAACCAATGTCTGCCCAAAAATGTCGAACCAGATCCTGGGCCCAATGCCCGTGACAATCCCCGCCTGTAACCTCTGCAAGTAACCACTCTCACTCTCGTAGTCTGCCGAAGCAGTGAAGTCAGACAGTGAGAGGATAGGGAGGGAGATGGTGGACTGAGAAGAGGAAGAAGAAGGACTCTCTCTCTCTCTCTCCGGAGCCAGGTACTAACCTGTGATGGTGACGCTGTGCTGCAGGTACCTCGATGACGAGCTGGAGCTATGGCGCCACAGGTAAGTCACCCTGAAGGTGGCGTCCTGCTGCAGGTACCTTGAAGACGAAGCTGGAGCTATGGCGCCACAGGTAAGTATCCCTGGCCTCCGCCAGCCTCCTCTCTCCACTACTCTAGCCTACTGCTACTAGCGCCCAGCGGTGAAGACTACTGCTAACGCTACTCTACTATTGCAGCCGAATCCTGAAGACTACTACCTCCTGCGAAGTGCACATCGAGTGCCTGGGCAGTCTCCTCTCGACTATCCCAACCTGTAGGGCGGGCCAGTCTTATATAGTGCTGGCCCGTCCAGGAGGCTGCTCTTGCCAATGCCTGCACATGCTAGC